GTTATTTACATATATATATATGTTAGACACTTTACAATATCTTACATCTTCCGAACGAAAAATAGGAGCTACATCAAAAATAAATGTAACAAATGATGGTTGATCGTTGTAATAAATATTACCTTCGCACAATACTTGATTGTGTCTAAATGCGCTGTTAGGTTCTTTCCTTGTGCGTGATGACCATTTTGCATTAGTTACAAAATTATTAAATGCTGTGCCAATGCTTGGCCAGTTTTGGGCTTCTGGGTAGTCATTCAAATAAGAGTCTTGTAATGCAGTAGCAAACTGATTATAACTTGCATTACTTCTTTTATTGTATTCATCAGCTAATAACTGATTTCTTTCATTATTTAGCCTGTTTTTGACATTATCATTCAGATTACTTGCACAATCATTTATGATATTCATATAATATGACGAATTAGACATTAACTCATAAGCATCAAAATTATATCGTCTGTGATTCAATTCTTGTCGTATACAGGATTTTACATCATCACCTTCAGCTTTTGGCAAAGGTAGCAATGGTTTATTTTCATTTGAGTTGAAATAGTTTTTACAAATGACAACAGTTCTTTGTGTAATTATTCCTTCTTTAATAAGTTGTGAATAATTATTATTTTTTACTACTGATAATAATGTAAGAAATATATCTATTGATTTATGGTATTTAATTGCATCGTATTTATTATTTGTTGCATGTAAAATAGTTTTTTCAGCTGAACCGTTGAAATCAAGACCACATTTTGTAAATGCTCTACTGTATAAACGTACTGATTCAACTTCTGGTACGTTTCCAAATCCATACTTTTGAAGTACAATGTCACCCATTACTGCGTTGGCAAGTGCCCTATCAGTCTTTTGGTCAAGTTCTGTGAAGAAATTTATTGACTTATCAGCAAAAGCCATTGTAGAACAAACTAAAATAAGCAATAAACTCAAAATACAACTTCTCATGACAACTTCCTTGCTTAAATGTAGAGTGAGGTAGTTTACATATACAAAGTTGCAAAGTAAAGATTTTCTTTTAAAGGCAGCCTTTTGGTTGTGCGACAGATCAGCAAAAAGCTCTGAATCCAGGAGAATCAACCGGTGGCCTATTGATCAAAATTCAATGTAAAACCGGTATGCAAAAAGGCTACGCCATTGCCGAATTGCAGAGAGATAGAGACTCCAGACGTTCTGGCTTTTTAGGGGTGATCGTGAAGGCCGCGAAAATGGCTGACTTCCGGGGAGAGGGCAAGTCTCATAAGTGGCGATTATGACAACTTGCGGCAAGGGGGCTACTTTCGATCTAAACCTAAAACTTCACGCTGCGTTGCTTTGTACTGACGTTCCATTTCCTTAACTATCTCTTTGCGCACACGTAGAAGATCTTTTTCATGCACGGACAATGCAGCAGCCAATTTGTTGGTTAGCCGTGTTTTATGACCATTCAAAAATGCGCGAAATCTATCAGTTGGCGTACCATCTTTGTTAATGTCTTTAATCTGAATCCCTTTTGACAAGCCTCTATATCCGTCTTGGTTATTGCGTATCAAATCTATGGTTTCATCTGCCAAATGAAGTTGTTGCTGCGCTGCTTGTATACTTGCAATTTGTTCGGGAGAATTGGCGTAATCTCTCAACTCTTCTTGCAATAGGAATTTTTCAGCTTCAATTAAGGTGTCAAAATCGCCGTCATGCAAAATGTCTTTCAAGGTTTCAATTTGCGTGTTTATGCCATCACGCAACTCTTTTTTGCTTGGCGAATTTTGATCAAGGATGAACAATTCCTTTTTGAATCCAGAATCAGAAATGAGACGGTTCACTAAGCCAGTTTTTACCATATTCAGACTCCGCTCTTGATAGATTCCATCCTTCAAGGCAATCCTTCCCCCAAGTTTCTTTTGCTGCCCAAGCTACGCTAGGAGCCAATGGAATCATTTTGGCATAGGTAAAATCGCCTTGCTTAGCTGCTGCACGCGCCTTTTTTACAAAGGCAAACTTTTCTTCATAGCTCAAATTTTCGTAATCCATGGTCTTCCTCTGGTGTTAAAATTTGGCAAGGTGGAAAAGTTGATTGCCGAGAAAATTTTACCGTAATAGGATTTGATGTGCAATCCGGTTGCCGGTTTGCCGTCCCGTAAGAAGCGATTATGACAACTTTCACCAGCTGGTCGGACTGATCGAAACAGGTACATGTACCTAATCAGGTACGCGTACTTTGTACCCGAAAAAAAATGGCCGGTCGCCAAGCCGTCAACGTGTCGCGCTGCTCCACGTCTCCGGATCAGCGGCCGGCCCCCAGGCACAAAAGTTAACCAGCTGCTGCCAGATAGACACCGACACTTCACTGTCGGTAGATCCCAAAGCCTCCAAAATAGCTGACTTGAGGACAGCAACACTTAACTGTCGGTGAGTTTTACTAATACATCCCTGGCCAGCCTAGCCCCTCTGGATTGCGGCAGCAATAATTGATCCAGCTGACACCAATCCTCCGCCCCGGAGCACTTGCGGACCTTTTGACGCTCGCACCATATCGCGGATTGCTTGAGCGTGATTTTTAATTTTTTCATTATCCTGTTCCACTGGTTCAGGCGCAGCAGACACCAGCAACGGTAGATAATTTTTTGATTTACGAGTCTTTTTTGCAGTTGCCTGTTCTTTGATGATCCGGAATTTTATACCGGTAATCTTCCTGCCTGTTTTTGTTGGGGACCAGTTAAATTTTAGTGTTGTATGCTTATTTATGTCTTCGTGTGCCTTATCCAGGACACGGCGCTTAAAGTCTTTCCATACCTTCAAGCTATCTGGACAGTTTAGAATGGCGTGAAGTTCATCACAAGTGATTTCGAGAACAGGTTTTTCAAGATCATCATAGCTTTTAAGAATTTCAAAAAGCTTTTGACTGTATACTGATGGCAGTTGAACGTACTCTAGAACGTCATAAACCGTGAATAGAGTTGACAATTTTATCAAGTGTTCAGCAAGAAGATTGTTAAATATCGCCGTAACTATGCCGTCATTGTATTCAATAAAAGAGAAAAATGGAGCTCCATTTATTTTATATTTATCTGTGTTTTTGCATTCCACATATATATATGCTTGAATCAGGTTTTGTACAGATTCTTTAATTTTCGTAGTGTTGATATTAGATTCTGTATCAATGCCAATGTAATCTGAAAGTTTGACGCTATATTCTCGATCTAGTGCCGTCTCTTCTACCCTTATTTGTGCAATCAGGGCTGCCAATATACGGTTTGCTGTTTTGTCTTTAATACTTACTTTTGCTCTAGCGGCAAAATTGCTTTTCTTGACCAGTGTAGATGTGGATGTTATTTCATTGTTGGCCATGATTTCCTCCTAATGTCATCATGGTTTCAGCCCTGTGACCTCGTACTTCACAGGGCTTTTATTTTTTTAGTTTAGTTTTTTTTATATCATATTTACAAGGGACATGCAACGATAATTTTTGCCCCCTTTAATCTAACTTTTGTCCCCCTTTAATCTAACTTTTGTCCCCCTTTAATCTAACTTTTGTCCCCCTTTAATCTAACTTTTGTCCCTTTTAAATCGCGGAAACCCCCAGTTTTCTAGGCGTTTTCGGCCAGGGAAAAGGGAAAAGGGAAAAGAAGAAAAGAGTCGCTACGCGACATGGTTGCCGAAGACGGCAACAAAAAATCACCCCCGGGCTTTTCAGCCCGGCCCCTCAAGGGGCAAAGGCAGAAAGGCAGGGGCCGGAAACCGGCCCACGGTTTGGCCGCGCCAGCGCGGCACCAGCGTGAGCCTCGCAGCCAACTGGATGACAGGGATTCAATTTCCGAAGGACTATATTAAAGGCAGGCCGCTAACGCGGCCCCGCCTGCGGCGGCCAATGAAAAAGAAAATTTGAAGGTTGATATAACTACTCATATATTGATATTCACACCAATAAATTTTAAAATCACAGCGCTTGGTTGCCCCTGTTAAAAACCTTTTGTTCTCGCCCTGCGGACGCGAAACACTAAGGAGGGGCCCATGAGGATCATTTTCCTAGCCCTATGCACGGCACTAGCGTTGTTGCTGATGTGGAGTGACGTCCACTAAAAACAGTAGCCCTGGTCCACTTGCACTGGGCCAGGGCTAAAAAATTTGGTCGATCTGGGTAACCAGGCGAACACGGGGGGTGTGAAACCACGCGTCCGCACATGGAGGGCCGTCATCCCTTCATGCCTCGTTAAAATAAATATTATAAAAAAGTTTGTCCACTGCTTATTTTCAGGGGCGGCGCTTGCGTCCTGGCTCACAAAGACAGCCATAGGCAAAGGGGCTGCTTGGCCAGGGCCGAAACCTCCCGCCGGATGGCTATGGGGCCACCGGCGGCGGCCTGGCACTGCGCCCCCATCTTTGCCGCCAGGCCGCTACGCGCCGCCTGTTTCTGCTACCTCGGCTTTTTTCTTTGCCGCAATCTCTTTTTTCAATCTATCAAAACCGGCCTTTGCTCTTTCAAGGTTCCTACCTTCTAATAATTTTGGAGCCTGATCTTCGATCCAGGCTTGACCTTTCTCATCTGACTTCTGAAACCATGCCTCGATAAAAAGCCCCCAGGCAACCAGCTGGCCATTTCTTTCTTTTCTGGTCTCGCTTTTCAGCAAAGCCTCTTCTTTTTGGAGTCGAGCCTTTAGCTGGTCAATGCGTTCTTGTCTGTTGGCCTTGCTTGATTTTGGCAGCTTCGGCTTTTCAGTGGTGTTTGTGTTGGCATTGCCTTGCTGGTTGTTGTCTGATGTTGCCTGTGGTGTGTCGGTCATTTTTGCTCCTTGTGTTTCATGGTGAAATATCATATCCTTTCACCAGAAACAAGTCGCAAAAATCAAAAAGGCAAAAAACCGAAGGGCGCACTTACGAGTTGCAAGCAACTCTCCAGCACGCTCTCCGAGGGCTTAAGGAACTTGAAAAAATTACCGCAATTTTGCCAACATTAAGGAAGTTGAAAAAATCGCGGCATTTTTACCAGTATTAAGGAAGTCAAAAATTGCATGGCAATTTTTCATCTAAGTGTAAAACCTGTTAGCCGTAGTTCTGGTCGAACCTCAACGGCTGCAGCTGCCTATCGTTCTGCCTCGCTCATTCGAGATGAGCGAACAGGCGAAACACACGACTATCGGCGCAAAGATGGAGTCGTGTATTCTGCGATCATGACTCCAGATGGCAGCACTATCGCCAGGGGGGACCTGTGGAATCTGGCAGAGGCGTCAGAACGCAGAAAGGATTCCAGAACTGCCAGAGAATACGAGATTGCACTGCCTGCCGAACTGGATCAGGAAGGACGGCAGAATCTAGCGGAGGAATTTGCCAGGCATATCATGTCAAAATATGGAGTAGCCGTTGATTTGTGCATTCACGAGCCAGGCAAGGGCGATGATAG